GGGAGGGGAGAGATGGAGGGAGGGGAGAGACGAGGAGGAGAAATCGGGATGTATTACATGTAAACCTCGTGTGTCTTGGAGGACATGACAGGACACAGAGTGAAATCTTTCCCCGCTGGGTTACGCAGCTACCTTCATTGGACGCTGACAAATCATTCATAGCTGTAGGGACAGCCCGGCATACCCCTCACTCTCCCAGCATGCCTCAGTTTTGTAGCAGGCAGTACAGAGCGGATGGCTGAATATAGAGAGGAGGGGCCTGGGTCATGTGATGAACTCCAAGAAATGGGATTTACAGGTAAGACATGAATCCCGATTTCATGGTTGTACATCACAGGACACAGGGAGTTCAATCTGCAACCACTGGGATGTCCAACAGAGGGGCAGGTAAAGCAGCAAACCCATGGCCCACACCGGCCCAAGAACAAAGGATGAACCCATCAATCAAAGGGCCACCAGAAGACCTTCATGGACAAGCTGGCATCTGCTGAGGCCTGAACATCCACCTGGGAGAAGAGGACCCCAGGTGGGGGCCTTACAGATTGGATTCTGAGGTGCCGAGGAAGGAGAGTCTCACCCCCGGAAGCTCATAGGCCTGGGAGACGTTCCTATCAATACCCTCAGCAGCGAGAGCCCAACGCTGCCCCACAAGAGGACCCTCAGGGATGATGAGAAGGAGGCAGCCGAGGAGTAAGCTCGCATTGCTCTGTCATGGCAGTGAAGGGAAATCTCCTTTTGGGGAACAGGACATAAGGATGATAAAAGGAGAGGCCACCTCCGGGAGGAAGAAGGCCCCAGGCCTCAGAACCACCTCGTCCTTACGAAGGGTTCCTTGTAGGACGTGGCCGCCCACTTGGAAACCCATCTCACGGAAGTGACGGGGATCAGGAAGGCCACCGTGCATGGCGTGCGTCTCTGTTCGGGTCAGGAGGTGGCTTTTAAAGAGCCAACAATACAAGGTTAAGGTCCTACGGTGTCACTAAAATCCCTACGGGGGGGACAATGTGGGGGACAACATGCGTGAAAGTCTTCACTACGGAGCAGCAGGTAGTCTCTACAAGAGAACCGCTGAGGCAGAGATCGGGCCAGGCCCGTGCAGTACTTCCTGGGAGGGAACATCCAAGCCTTGCAAGTGAATGAAGTCCTCCCGGTGCAATGGGAGGTTCCTAGACTGTACGGTCTCCGTCAGGACCTGAGGAGGAGGAGGATGGGGGACAGGAAGTCCTCCCACTACGTTCATGTTCCGGGTCCTCCTGAGAGGGAACCGTCGAGGGGCAAGAAAAGTGTTCAATCAGATGAAACTGATCCCATGGAGACAGCAAAGCCGGGATTCCTGGACGCCAGGGGGGCCACCTCCGATGTCTCCCACCTGCAGCAAGGGGCCCGGAACACCTCCAGGTACAGGGACCACTCTCCGGGGCCCAGACTCAGGAAACAGAGGTAGTTCCCCTGCCAATGGTCTACATCTAGAATGTGCAGGAGCAGGTCTGCTTCTTCTGCAGTGAGGTTCCTCATGCTTCAGGAGAGGTGAGGAGGAGAGTACAGGTGAGGAGGAGAGTACAGGTGAGGAGGAGAGATGAGTACAGGTGAGGAGGAGAGTACAGGTGAGGAGGAGAGGACTGGTGAGGAGGAGAGATGAGGAGGAGAGATGAGTACAGGTGTGGAGGTGAGGAGGAGAGATGAGTACAGGTGAGGAGGAGAGATGAGTACAGGTGAGGAGGGGAGGATAGGTCCTGTGCGGAGTCTTACCTTGGCAGGCTGCATGGGCACTGCTATCTGAGGTGCAGTCAGGAGAGTCTGGGTGGGGTGCAGAGCCTGGGGGTGCATGGGACGGAGGGTAGACTGCAGGAAAGAAGAGTCAGGTCAGGTTCTCATCCACAAAACCTTCATTAATAAGCTCTGACGGGTCTCTGAAGACTGAACCATGGCACTGTGATCCCGCATGGACATTCATCATAACTAGGTCAGGTTCTCATCCACAAAACCTTCATTAATAAGCTCTGACGGGTCTCTGAAGACTGAACCATGGCACTGTGATCCCGCATGGACATTCATCATAACAGAAGGATGCGATGTGCTGCAGGGCGGTGTACATGGGTGTGAATCATAACAGAAGGATGCGATGTGCTGCAGGGCGGTGTACATGGGTGTGAATCATAACAGAAGGATGCGATGTGCTGCAGGGCGGTGTACATGGGTGTGAATCATAACAGAAGGATGCGATGTGCTGCAGGGCGGTGTACATGGGTGTGCTTGTCCCCATCACATAAATAAGCTCGGCTCCCTCACCTCAGGCGGCTCCAACCCTCTGAGCACGCAGGCGGATTCTCCATTGGGTACCATGGAGAGAATGTATGGCCCATGTATAGGATGGGGAGGGGAAAAGGGCGATGGAGGTCCCCTCCATCCAATAAGAGCCGTGTGCCTGGACTAAACATGGAGACCCCTGACCTCCATCACTGGAGACCCCTGACCTCCATCACTGGAGACCACTGACCTCCATCACTGGAGACCACTGACCTCCATCACTGGAGACCCCTGACCTCCATCACTGCAGACCCCTATCACTGGAGACCCCTGACCTCCATCACTGGAGACCCCTGAGCCCCATCATTTGGAGACCCCTGATCCCCATCATTTGGAGACCCCTGAACCCCATCATTTGGAGACCCCTGAGCCCCATCATTTGGAGACCCCTGAGCCCCATCATTTGGAGACCCCTGAGCCCCATCATTTGGAGGGGGGTGTACATACTTTTGGCCATGTAGTGTATGTGTGGTCGTCTAACACCTCTCACTGATTTGTAGATGATAACTTCATCCCCGGGATTCACTCAACATGGCTGCCACATAATGCCCCATCTCCCTGGAATCATTCTATTGGCCGCAGCGTATCTACACGTCATGGGGAAGAAGGGACTACTCACGGAATCAGTGAAGCCGGACTGCTGGTTGGCATGTTCAAGCTGCTTCTGGAGAGGAATGCCACTGCTGGGAGGAATAAACCCTGAGGAGGACACAAAAGAAACAGGAAGTCAAGGGGGAGGGTATCCGTGTCAACTCCGCCCATAGTAGGACATTGGTGATGATGTCAAGGGGAAGGGGGTAAGACAATGGTGAGGAAGAGGATGGACAATGGTGAGGAAGAGGATGGACAATGGTGAGGAAGAGGATGGACAATGGTGAGGAAGAGGATGGACAATGGTGAGGAAGAGGATGGACAATGGTGAGGAAGAGGATGGACAATGGTGAGGAAGAGGATGGACAATGGTGAGGAAGAGGATGGACAATGGTGAGGAAGAGGATGGACAATGGTGAGGAAGAGGATGGACAATGGTGAGGAAGAGGATGGACAATGGTGAGGAAGAGGATGGACAATGGTGAGGAAGAGGATGGACAATGGTGAGGAAGAGGATGGACAATGGTGAGGAAGAGGATGGACAATGGTGAGGAAGAGGATGGACAATGGTGAGGAAGAGGATGGACAATGG